ACTCCAAACCTCCCAGGGCTGCCCCTTCAGGGCCTGACCACCCTTTCCATGAGGAAATTCCTGCTGATGCCCAACCTCAGTGACCTCATGGAGCACTCAGAACCCCTTGGGTGGACCCGAACTCAAGTTCTACTTGGTTTGAGTGGGGAAACAAAGCAGGGTGAAACCTTCTGGACCCCGTGTGTCAAGTCCCACCACCTGGAATATTCAGAAATACACAGATGTGGCACTTGGGGACATAGTTTGGGGTTTGGGGCTGGGTTGATGGATGGATTTGATGATCTCTAAGATCTTCTCCCACCTTAACGATTCCACGACCTCACCTTGTGCACAATCGCCTGGGACCTGCAGGAAGTTCAGCCCTCACTGGGCAGCAGAAGGGAAGGACATGAGAGGCCACCAGGTCCCCCAGAGTGACCCCAGGCAGTGGCAGGAGCAGCACAATGAGCAGCACCGAGCCCTGAGTCACCGAGCTTCGATGTCGCACGGGTTTCATTCTCTCTCCGGCTCCTTGGTAACAGCTTTGCTCAAACCCCCCGAAGTGCTGCCACGTCAGAACAAAAACCTTTAATTTAAAGGAAAAAAAAAAGAAAAAAACACAGGAAGGTGAGACTCGGTTGTGATTCACACAGAGGATGCTCCAGAGGCTCCCTGAGGAGGCACTTCCCATCCGGGGAGCACACGGGGGTCGTGATGGAGCGAAGGATTCTGCAGAGAGTGCGGTGGCAGATCCCAGAAAACTCTTCCTGGGAAAACAGCCACTCAGAGAGCCTGGAGAGGATTACAACCAGCTGCACTGGGGGTTATTTCATTTCAGTTTCCCCCCAAAMCTGCAGGAACAAAGAACTCAGGCACTCGTTTATCACAATATTCCCTCGCCGCTCTGCTGAAACTGATCTGGGACCAAGGAGCTGGGAGATTTCCCTCCTATTTGATCCTCAAAAAAAGGGGTTTTCCTTCTAAATCAGTGCCATCCACCTGCTCCAGTCTCACTCGTGTGTCCCCAGGAACAGTAACAGGATCAACTTCAACACCTTAACACCACAAACCCACTCCTGCTCTGTTCCTCCGTGCTGGATCCTGCTCACGGACTTCTCTCAGCAAAGGTGATTTTTTTTTCAGGCAAAAGCAGAGTATTTCATTTGCCACCTGATTCCAGGGGTGGGAATTGCAACAAAAACAGGGATCAGAGCCCTTTCCCTGCCTAGTAGCACTCCCTGACCATCAGTCAGACCTCACTCAACACTGCAAACTCCATCAGAACACACCAGGCTCTGCTGTTTCGAGGCAGCTCTGGGACAGACATTCCTTGTTTGCTCGCTTTGCACCAAGAGTCAGATGAGAAGACATTCAAGCTTTGACCTTTTCAAAGCAGCCCAGGTGTTAATAACATTAAAACCGAGAGGGAAAAAAAATTCTCACTACCTGAGAGAGAACAGGAGAGAGAGCCAGGAAATCTCGTGTCCAGCAAAAATGTTTCCTACTCATGGACTTCCATCTCCTCACTCCCACTGCACCTCAGCCACTGAACCCTCTGGAGATCTGACCCCTCCACCACCATCAAACCTGGGAACAGCATGACAGGAGCTGAAGGAACCCGTGAATTCCTGGCCATCAGTTTTTATGGAATAGCAGATTCCAGCACGTGCCAAATCTCTCCCAGCCCTGCTATTTCTGGATCAGCAGCAGATGAACGTGAGGAAGGACCTGCTGAGTTTGCAGTTTGATGGGGAATTAAATCCACTTCCTGCAGCTCCAAGGCCACCTCCTAAAGGAGCACTGGAGGTTTGATCCTCGTTTTGGGTTACAGGGACAGCTGCAAAGTTTRATCCTCATTTTGGGGTCACAGGGACACCCTCTGCCAGGGCTCCTCTCCACCCACAGGGCTCGCAGAGGAAGGAGGGATGAGTTCCCTGTAGGGTGTCCAGAAAATCCCTGCAGTTTCATATGACACAGGCAGAAAAAAATCCACCTCTGGGTGCTGACCTGTGTTTCAAACTGGAAATGGCTGCAAGGGCAGGTTGGACAGGGCTTGGAGCAACCTGGGCTAGTGGAAGGCGTCCCTGCCCATGACAGGGGATTGGGATCAGAGGATCTTGAAAGTCCTTTGAGATCACCCAAACCATTCTGGGATTCCATGGGATGCCTGTGCTGGACCAGGGGTGAAGGGATGTGAGGATCCCATCCAAGGAGGAGGGGATCAACCTCAGCAGTGCCATAGGGACACTTCCAAACAGCTCCCCAGGAAGTGCCCCCACCCCAAAGGCATCCTCAGCACTCCTAAGGGAATATAAAACATTGAAATAAACACACGAACTTGCCCTCAATCCTGCCCTGGCTATGGCACAAGCCCTTCTGGGCATCATCAGAAGGTGACACGGAAAATTTTTGGGAACCAGACCTCTGACAGGCTGGGTTTTTAGGGTTATTTTCCCTCCAAAGCATCCCATTCTCACCAGAGCCAGCTGCAGCTTCACACACAGGGGGTGAAGGGTTAATCTGGGGGAACTCAAGGTGCTCCCTCCAGCACTTCCCAGCAGTTCCTGGCTTGGAGAGAATCAAACTAATTACCTYAGTAATTACCAAACTAATTACCTCTCTAATTACCCAGTGTCTTTGTTCACATGGAGCTGACGTTCCTGCAGAGGAGCCCTGGCTCGGTGCCCCTCGTTCTGGGGGAATTTTGTTGCCTCTCTCCAAGATCCAGGTCCCCCTCCCACCATGGCCAAGCTCAGGTCCTATCCCTGTCCCCAAGGGAGGGGCAGGTGCTGCTCCAGCTCCTCAGCTGCACCAGAAACTCCCAAAATTTTAACATTTCAGCACCCAGAGCAGAAAAAAACACTTAGAGAAGGAAAGGGGAGCAGGTACACAAAAGAAGAGGTGGCAAAAGCAGAGGAGGTGGTGGACTGAAGCTCCAGAAATATTCAKAACTTCTGCTCTGCTTTAAAGGGCAAAGTTCTCCACACCATGGACAGCCTTAAAGTCCACAACATGGAAAGTTTTAAAGTCCATACCATGGAAAGTTTAAAATCCACAATTCGGGCAGCACTGAAATCCACACCAGGGAAGGTTTAAAATCCACATCATGGACAGCTCCGAAGTCCTCATCACGGACAGTCTGAAAATTCACACCATGGACAGCTCTGAAGTGCTCACCATGGAAATTTTTGACTTTTTAAGTTCTGAAAGTTTTAGAATCCTCACCATGGACAGCTCTAAAGTCCTCACCATGGACAGTCTGACAGTTCACACCATGGACAGCTTTAAAGTGCTCACTGTGGAAATTTTGGACTTTTTAAGTTTTGAAAGTTTTAAAATCCTCACCATGGACAGCTCCAAAATCCTCACCACGGACAGTCTGAAAGTCCACACCATGGACAGCTCTGAAGTGCTCACCATGGAAATTTTGGACTTTTTAAGTTCTGAAAGTTTTAGAATCCTCACCATGGACAGCTCTAAAGTCCTCACCAAGGACAGTCTGACAGTTCACACCATGGACAGCTTCAAAGTGCTCACCGTGGAAATTTTGGACTTTTTAAGTTTTGAAAGTTTTAAAATCCTCGTCATGGACAGCTCTAAAGTCCTCACCATGGACAGTTCCAAAGTCCACACCAGGGACAGATTTAAATTCCTCACCATGGACAGTTCCAAACTCCTCACCATGGACAGATTTAAACTCACCATGGATAGCTCTGCAGTCCTAACTCTGCTCGTTGCCATCAGCCTCCCCCACACCACACAGGCTGCAGATGCCACCCCTGATGCCACAGAAGATGTTTAAAGAACACAACACCTCAAACACAGTTGGAACAGAGCAGGCAAGGCTGACTCCCATCGCTCAAGGCTGTCAGGATGGGAAACCAATAAACATTTGGCACYAACAGAGCCCTTCCTTCCCGACACAGCTCTTCCCCTGATTTTACAGCATCATCTGGCCTGAGAAACGTCTGCTTTTTCCTCTATGCCGCCTTCTGCTGCCAATTCCGAGTCTGGCAGGGCTGGATCTGCCAACTCCTTGGCTCTCCGTTACAAAAGGGAACATTACAGAGAAGGATTTGTGAGTTAGCTGATTTGTAAACACTACAGCAAGGCACCATGTAAACACAGAGCTTATGGCCCTGTTATTTCTGCCCAGCAGTTCACCTGGCACCTGATGTTGAACTCCAGGACCCTCCCCYCCCACCAACACTGCAGTTGCTTGGYGTGTGAAAAACAAAAAAATCCTAGCTTCTCTCAGTATATTATAAAAAAAAAATCCTTAATTAAACAGTACTCACAAAGCATCTTGATAATTAGGGAAGTCACTGGCAGCATTTTGCATGAATAATAAATGAGATCCACAGGTGCACCCGCAGTTGTTGAGGAGGACGAGGTTCAAGCACGGCCAATTAGAGMGGGAGAACAGGTAAATAAACAGCACAAGGCTGCTCATTTGACATTGTTACCTCCACTGGGGTGTGAAAAGTGAAAGATGTGAAGATTGTTTGGGACAAGGAATATGGCAGTTATACCTGAACACAGGGAATTAACGGGGAGCGGGTGCTTGCACAAAGCTGATTTGGAGATTTTGGGGGGTTTCTGCCCTTTCATAGGATCCCAAAATGGTTTGGGTTGGGAGGGAGCTTCAAGACCATCCCATTGCACCCCCTGCCATGGGCAGGGACACCTCCCACTGTCCCAGGGTGCTCCAAACCCCATCCAACTTGACCTGGGACGCTCCCAGGGAGAGAGCTTGCGGTGCTCCATTCACAAGGATTCCGCGAGAAGGGAAGCGGTGGCGGATAAATCACAACACTCCCATCACGTGGGATCCCTTTAGGTGGCTCTGATGGAAAACAGCTCAATCCGAGCCCCGCTGCTGACACCGGGGCTGGTTACGCGTAAAAGTCTGCGCTTGAAAAGCTTCGGCAACAACATCTGCTGGGAGAGCGTGATTGACACGGCGGAGGGAACACCGCCCGCCCCCGACGAGTGGGAAGGGAGACAGACTGCAGCATCAATCTTGTGCATAAAATAAGATTTATTGTTGGAACAGAGCGAGGCATTTTCGTCAGGACTTGATACGARCGAGGAGCACAACAGAACCATCCCACGTAAATAAAGGCCATGGTACCCCCCGGGTGTGGGAGCTCGGGCATCATTCCAGCAGAAGGCTTGCACAGGGACACTTCATGGAGTCAGGGAATTTGGGGAATAAGTTAAAGCACAAATTACAATCCTACACTGCCAGGAGAACTCTGACCCAGGGAGCGGGGGCTGCTCCCAGGAACGGCCGCGTGCTGGTTACACCTGACAGATATTGCCGAGGAGATTCTACAGTGAAATAGCAGCATTTGAAAGACATTCCCCCTCTCTGAGGTCAGCCAAAAGTTCTTTTCTTCTCCTTCCTTCCTCACCAATAGGTGRGCTTTGATGAGGTGGAACAGTGGCCTCGGACAGGCGGGTTTGGATGGAACAAAATCCAGATCTCAGTTTCCCGAGTGGCCGCGCCGACGGAGCTGCGATGGTGCTGCTCTTCAAAGGGATCTTCCACTCCTCTTTACTGGGCTGCCCCACAAATGGGCTGCTGGATCATTGTTGGGGAGAAAATAAAAGCTCTTCTGCTGAAATTAGCTGATGGTCTTGTGCTTGATTTGGATGATGCCTTTATCCTCCTCTCCCGAGCACTCTCTGCTGCAAAAACAATCAGAGGGGAGGGGAAGAGAGAGGGACAAACACCTATTTCAGTGACTTCAGGTTATTCCAGACACTCCTGAAGTTTGGCTACAGTCCCTTCCTAGGAGTTACAATTTTTGAACTAAAAATACAGAACAAGAGACACTGTTGATAAACACATCATGCCAGAGAAAAGCTATAAAACCAGTATGAAGCTACCTGAGGACTCAATGAGAGTTTGGAGGCCTGAAGAGTCTCAGGAATGATCCATTTCCATCCATCCTCGTGCTATCATGGCTTTAGTGCTATGGCTATCAAAAGAAATGAGAACATCTGACCTCACAAGAAGATAAATCCCATCCCCATCAATTTTGCTCTCGAGGAAAGAGATCCTGAAAAAATCCAACACTGAGCATCCCTCACCTGGCTCCTTCCTGGGTTCTGAGTCAGAATCAAAACCCCAACAGTTCGATCATGTTGGACTCATCCTGGGCTTCAKGACAGAACCACAGAGCATGGAATGGTCTGGGCTGGCAAGGACCTTAAAAATCATCTCATTCCTTTCACAAGATCAGGTTTCCTGGACCTGGAAATGTTCCAAACCCAGGCTGGATGGAGCTTGGAGCAAGCTGGGATGGTGAAAGGTGTCCCTGCCCATGGATGGGGTTGGAGTGAGATGATCTTTAAAGTCCTTTACAACCCAAACCATTGTTCTTGCCTACAAAATCCATAAAACGGGTAAGGAGTGGTTATGAGTCTCTGTGCAATAAATAGTAGGAAGGGATTTGATAATTTTGAGGCTTTATGTCAGGAACAAATCCAAATTTAAACCTTGGTGAGCTCCAAACAGCTGATTCAAGTGTCTGAGCAAAACGTCTTGGAAGTTTGGACTGCATCATCACAATCTTGGAAATTAGGGAAAAYTAAAATAAAGGGAATTAAAACATGTCAGGTATGGCTTCAACCAAATTATCACATTATTCCTAAAAATAACCTGGTAAATTGTGCTATTCCATCCAGTTCCTGTGAGGGTTAAAAGGTGAACTTAGGTCAGATTTTAGGAAAAATGTCTTTCCCAAAAGGGCTGCCCAGCCCAGGGCAGGGGTGGAGTCCCCATTCCTGGGGGGATTTCAAAGCCCTGTGGATGTGGCACTTGGGGACAGGGACAGTGATGGCTTTGGCAGTGCTGTGAATGGTTGGACTCCACAATCTTGGAGGTTTTATCCAAGATGAACAATTCCAAGAATTCCCCAAGGAGCAGGACAGTGTCCACATGGACAGATGATTCCAGTCCCTGTGACCACAAAACCCTCCAGAGACCACAGAGGAGAAGAGCAGGCTGATGGAATGAAAGGAATCATTTTTATGCTCCTTGGGTGGATTTACAAACAAAAATCTGGGGAAGTTTCCTCAATTTCCAAAGGTTCCAATCCCAGATCCATGGCACTGCCACGGAGATTTCTGTAAAGCTCAGGGAGGCTCCTCCACCTGGAAAATCCCTTTTTGTCATGGAATTACAGACTCCCTCCGAGTCATTTCTGGGCTGAATATTGACTTTGTGTCAATTAAACACTRCACAAGTTAAGGGAGGAAATTCCCAAGGGATCTGAGAAAAAATGGGCTCCTTTTATTCAGTATCCCAAGGAAAGAAATCACAGGTGTTTGCTCATCATATCCATATTTCTGCCCACAAAATTTCACCTTCAGACAAGTGGGGRTGTTCCAGGGCTTCTTTGGGTTTTACCTACATTTTGGGGGGGTTTTAGTGTTTTTTACTGACTTGACCTTACCATCACCTGATAAATTAATGTATTCAAAATATTTTCCTTGTGTTTTTACCTAACACAATGGAGGGAACCTGGTCCATAATAAACTTCATTTGGTGAGGGCAGTGTTGAGTGACAAGGCCTTTTTGTTGCATTTTATTTCAGCGTTTCCACATTTCCTACTTCTACATATTTTTCTGTTTAGACTGGAAATTGGTATCAAGAAAAAACACTGGAGGACGAGGCTAAAATCCTGGTTTTATTYTGATTAGGATGCATAATTAAGGAACACTCGATCCAACAAATTTAAATACTTATAAGGCTGAAGGATAACATTTTGTGGCCAGGCTGCCAGGCACCAGCAGCAGCTGGCATTGTCCTTTGAAGTACTTTTAAATCTCACCTGCCTGCAGAGACCTGGATCCTTCTGGAATTCACTGCTTTAATTGGAATTTATTGCACAGATTCATTAAACCATGGACCAGTTGTGGTTTTATGTAAGAATCAGAACTTCTTGTAGACCAGGGTGAGGAAATTTTTTTTTAAATACCCCAAAATTTGTATCTTAACAGGTATTATCCATACCTATTGCTGGAAGAGTGGGATAAAGAATAAAAAGACTTGGATGGTCTGGCTGGAGTTAGGCAGCCCAAATAAATCCTACACACAGTCCCAGCATTCAATGGTTTAACAGGAATTTATTGCACAGATTCATTAAACCATGGACTAGTTGTGTTTTTATATAAGAATCAGAACTTTTTGTAGCCCAGGGTGGGAAAAAAATTTTTAAAACTCAAAAAAATTATATTTTAACAGCTGTTACCCATATCTGTGGCTGGAAGAGTGGGATGAAGGAATAAAAAGCCATGGATGGTCTGGCTGGAGTTAGGCAGCACAAATAAATCCTACACACAGTCCCAGCATTCAATGGTTTAACAGAAATTTATTGCACAGATTCATTAAACCATGGACTGGTTGTGTTTTTGTGTAAGAATCAGAACTTCTTGTAGCCCATGGTAGAGAAAAAAACTTTAAAATCCCAGAATTCAATGGTTAAACACGAATTTATTGCATAGATTCATTAAACTGTGGACTAGTTGTGTTTTTATGCAAAAATCAAAAATTCTTGTAACCCAGGATGGGAAAAAAACCCCAAATTTCTATTTTAACAGGTATTATCCATACCTATGGCTGGAACAGTGGGATAAAGGAATAAAAAGCCAYGGATGGTCTGGCTGGAGTTAGGCAGCACAAATAAATCCCACACACAATCCCAGCATCTTCCCCTTAATGGCTCCATCAGGTTTAAGTTTTCCTCTCCATTACTGGTATTGCCATTATAATAAAATGCAACCATTAATAACAGAGTTTAATTTATCTCCCCGGCTCCTCCCGACTTTGGGAAGAGATTTCAAGGGAAGATACAACAATGTGTCAAAGCCCTCGGAATTAACAGCTCTCTGGGCTTYTCTAAGGAGGGGAGAAAAGGACAGATAGAGACATGAGATTACAGGCAGGATGAGAAATAAGGAGCACACAGAAGAGAGGGGGAGATAATTATAAGCAAGATAGGGAAGAAAGAGGAGTCAATAAATTCAATTTATGAAAAGCACAGAGTGTGCTCAGCCCGAGCACAAGTGCCCAGACTCACCGCCAGGAAATCGGATTAGTTCACTTATTTGGTTTTCAATATCTTGCTCTATTCCCTCTAGCAAATTTTCCTCTCCCTTTGTTTCTTGTAGCCAGTGTCAGTTAACTTCTTCATTTCTGAATCTGCCATTTATCCCCMTCCTCCGGCTCCCAACCAAGCGCGCAGAGAAGGTAATTTTGAAGTTATTTTATAACAGCRTTTAGGAATTATTTCAAAGTAACTGCCTGGACTCGTGGGCAAACAGTGAATAAAAATAATTACAATTACAGCTGCAGCCCAGTGGAGGATGGGCAGGAGAGGACTGCTGTTCATTATSAAAAAACAATTGCTCCTGCTTGCAAATATTTCCATCATAAAAGGCTTCTCCTTCTCTGTTATCATGAGAGAAACCTCTCTGAATTCTCATCTTGAAGCATGTGTGAAACAGAATAAGAAACATTTAGGAAACACTTTCAAGTACTTGACAGGCTTGGATGAAGATCTTCAACGRAAAAAAAAAAGGTGTTTAAAAGGGTTCAAAAACCTAATGCTCATATTTATGCAATTTCCTTTTCCTGCACCTTCTGAACATGAATTAATTCATCCTCATCAGAGTCTTCTGAAGAAATCCCTATCAGATACAAACTCGAGTTARAGCTTAAACATGTCTAAGTAATTAATCCTTTTTTTTTTGTAGTTACTTAAAAAAATAATACAAAATTATAAATATGGTAAATTAGCACTGCAGATGCTGCTGGGCCATGAGRAAATKCACWACAGAASAAACCAAAATAGGGTAACAAGTGRCAGAATGAGAGAAAACGGCCTCAARTTGYACCAGGRGAGGKTTGGGTTGGATATTGTGGAAWATTTCTTCACTRGGCAGGGTGGAGTCCCCATTCCTKGRGGRAATTAAAAGCCCTGTGGATGTGGCACTTGGGGACAGGGGCCAGGATGGGACAGCAAATTTCAACAAAGGATCTGTTCAAAGAGGAATTAATCATTAAATCCTTTAAATTAAATTATCAATAAYCAATTAATTAAATTTGAAGGGACAGGGAGCTCTCAGTGACTGAGGAACAACTTCAGCACAGTCTCCTCCCATGTTCCCAGCACCATGAGAAGGTTAATTCCAGCAGAACTTTGGGAATACCAGAGGCTGCAGCATTTTGAAGCGAAAGGTCACAGAGAATGATCAGAGCCAAAGCCTCAGAGCATCTCTGCACGGGCAGAATTCAGCCCAGTGAACAGTGATTACCATGATCAAACACCAGATGTGCTCACCAGGTCTCCCCTACCACAGAAAAATGGGTGTCCTCGTGTGCTCAAATATTAACTCACAGATCTGAGCAGAAATCAAGATCAACAGACTGCTTTAATCACTTTTTACACATCCTGCACGTGGTTTGTGAGCACGTTTCCAACGGGCTTGTTTAAGGACACAATCGAGGTCAACATTTCGTCTGTCTATTTGGAAGCTGAGGAAAAAGGGTAAAATCGAGAAATTGGAGCTTCTTTTAACTCAATGACTGACATATTACTGCCATTTTCCTTCATGCTGCACTAATAAATCATAAAGATTTCAGTCTGCAGCGACCCCATACCCTAAAAAACTCGCAGAGAGAAGGGCAAGAGCAAGTAAAGGGCAGTTTGAGACGTTTGGGTAACACCAGACAGAAGAAATCAAGAATTCCAACTGGTGACCCATCTAGTTTGAGACATCCATGAATTTCTCATATTCATGGCAAAGAGTACCAGGCAGTTCAATCCCCTCGTTTTACTGCTAAAACTGCAGATAACAGGAAACATCTTCCACCAGTAAGAGCTCCCTCACTGAACATCTTCCCAGGGGAGGAGATGGAAACCTGAGCATTTCAATCGACTCCGAGTGGTCTCCACAGAGATTGTGAGAACACACRGACTGGGAAATGCTCAGGCATGGAAGAAGGGCTAATTGGATAATCTGATCAGCTTCTCCTCATCATTCCAGCATTTTTGAGTGGGAWTAGGTCCAGCTCACCTGTTTGGCATTGTTGACACAGTGCAGGTACTGGCTGGCCAGGGCAGAGCATCTCAGGGTCTCCCGGGCATTTTGCTGGTAACACTGAAGGATTTTATCCTGCAGCTCCCCACAGATCGGGTGGGACTCGTATCTCCTGTGGGAACAGAGAAAAACATCAGGGTTTCCTTCTAAAAACATCTCAGGAAAGAAAAAAAATATATTTTTTTAATTATTATTATTATTATTATTATTATTATTATTATTATTATTATTATTATTATTGAAGTGGTTTGGGTTGGAAGGGATAAAGATCAGCCAGTGTCACCCATGCCATGGGCAGGGACACCTTCAACGATCCCAGGCTGCTCCAAGCCCTGTCCAACCTGGCCTTGGACACTTCCAAAGGAAAAAATTCCTGGCTGGGAGGGTGGGGAGGGGCTGGAATGGAATTCCCAGAGCAGCTGTGGCTGCCCCTGGATCCCTGGAAGTGTCCAATGCCAGGCTGGAATTGGGATTGGAGCACCCTGGGAYRGTGGGAGGTGTCYCTGCCATGCCAGCGGTGGATGAGATGATCTTCAAGCTCTCCCCYAACCCAACCCAGCCMATTCTGTGATTCTGATTCCCATTTTGTTGCTTGGCCAAGGCAGATCTCTCTCCCCCCAACAAAGAAATGAAACACGAAGCACAAACGCTGCTCCTCCAGGGAATCGACTTCTCGACAATCACTCGAGATGTCRTGCTAAAACAAGGCAATGTGAAGTCACCTTGATTTTACAGTGTGTACCGATATAAAACATCCTTTTCTCTTTTCATCCTTTACCCTGCATCTGAAACCTAAACCAGAATTTAAATGCAGTCCCAGGTGCTCGCACACTTTATGATCTCCGAGTTCAAACTTGTGCGGGCTCTTACGGAGGAGGATTTTCCCTTAATCCTCCCTGTGCTGAGATCAGCACGCGCTTCAAAGGCGTGTCAGGCATCAGAATGTGCAACCACGAGCTCACAAACACACAGRGAGAGGGTGGCAGGGTCTGCATTGGGGCTGGGAACCACAGAATCACCATGGATGTTCTCTGTAAGCATCTCCCAGCAGTGAGGATTGAGGTCCAGCTGAAGCAGAGCTCCTTTAAAATGCCCAAAGTCCTGGTGTGGATTGATAAACCAATAAAACAGAGCATGAATGAACTAAAAACAGCCAGAGTAAACCTTGCTGTGCCTTTGTTCACAAGGCATTTTAAAGTGTTTCAGTATATAAAGGTGGAGAGAGAAGGGACTGGGTTGCTCTATCCTCGCTGCATAAATTCTGTCAATATTTAAAGCCATTTCAATGGGGGGACTCTAACCCATGAGAAAGAGATTTTTGGAGGCTTTTTTTAACCAGAGCCACGCCACCAGTGACCGAAATCCAGGTATTATCTTTATTTGAGTGTGTCAAAGGATTCCATGCACTGCCAACCACATGGGGAGCCCTGTGGGCCACATCATCTCCTGCCCCTCTGATGCCTTAAGATTTTTAGTTTCTGTATTTTCATGAATCTGTATTCTTGTACTTCTCATGTACAACACTAAAGCACCTGTTCTCATATCTTTAGACAAAACAATTCCTCTCTGAGCCTGAAATCCAAGGACACTTCGCTGCCTCAGAGACCCAAAATATGGAAACAACAGAGAACTGGGGAGAGCAAGTTTGGGGTGGATGACATCATCACTTGAAGGTGTCATTGGAGAATTCAGGCCTGATATGTTTAATAGGACAGAACTTATAAAAGGTGAAGATCTCATGACTCGGGGTCCATTTTGGGTGTAGCCTCAGGAGGAGGCTTTGTCTGTCCTCAATGCACCAGCAGGCCTGGATTAAATTTGTCTTCTTTTATTCTCTTCACTTTGGCCTTTGTTTCAGATGAACCTTGTTTAAGGCATCACCTCAGTGACTCGTTTCCATACTCTGACTTTTCAGGGAGGAGTTTTGAATTCCTGCTTTCAGTCCCGTCCTTCCAGGCACCACAGCTCCACGAGAACACGGYCACTTCCTCCAAGGCCACCAAATCCATTTCCTTGGATTGATCCACTGAAGGCGAGCGCTGATATCAATCTGCTGCACTGGTTACACTCCCCTAAATGCTCTGCTGGCACTTTTGGGAAAGCACTAAATGGAATTATTGCCAGGCATTAGAGGGCCATAAAGCTGCAGGGTCTCCCATCCAGGAAAGGAGGTTCCATCCTGCATCATGGGAACCCCTCTGAAGAGTTTTCCATCGATTTCTGTTGGTGATGGATGGTGGGACTGTCAGATGGATGGYTGGAAACAATCAGCAGCAAAGAAACTCCTCCAAAGGGGAATGRAATATCTCCCTAACAGAGAACCTCCTGGAGCTGCTATGATTGGATCAATTAATACTTAGATGGGATATTGAGAAGGAATTCTTGGCTGGGAGGGTGGGGAGAGGCTGGAATGGAATTCCCAAAGAATTCCTGGATCCCTGGCAGTGTCCAAGGCCAGGCTGGACATTGGGATTGGAGCACCCTGGGACAGTGKGAGGTGTCCCTGCCATGGMAGGGRTGACACTGGATGGGATTTAAGGTCCCACACATCAYYTATTCATTTATTTATTCATTTTTTTAACTGCTCAGGGATTTCACAACTGAACTGAAGGAGAAACACCAACTACAGGAATTCAGCCAGGGAATGCCAGGGAATGCTRACAGCTCTCCATCCCCACTCACCACAACTCCAAAACTTTACAGAACCAACACATCCAAAATCTCAAAAGCTTTTCTCTCAATATGAGCAGCAGCCTGAGCCACATGGCACGCGAGGAACGACGCTTTTTTTTATTAAGTTTGCAATTCCATCATCTGCTTTCCTTTCTCCAGCTGCTCCTGAAGCACCTCCCGTGCCAGAATAATCCTTCTGTGCTGGGAAAAACCTCTGAGGGAGCCGTGCACCCACCTTTTCCATCAAACCGATGCATCACAACCTCGTAAAGGTAATAGGATGGAAACACAAAAGGCAACGAGAGCGAGCCTTGAAAGGAAATATTCCATGCTAAAGCATGAAAAGAAAATTTAATGAAGGGAACTTTGTAGTCATCTGGGCTCTCTCAAAGAGCATAGCTTATTGTGCTCCTGGGGGCTCSGGGAGAGGAGCCCCTTCATGGCATTCAAACAAAATGTCTACTAAAGAGGAGATCTGACACCAGCACGGCGAGCGGCGCCAGCCCCGCGCTCAGACTGACACTCGCCGAGGGAACCTGAATGGCTGATGAGCTTCCAGCTGTGCAGATACCTGGCCTAATCCCCCCAGATCAGGATCCAAGCATCAAATATCGGGAAAAAAAGGGTAACAAAAAAGCGGTGGAAGAGATAAAAATAGCGTGAGATGGGCAGGAGTATGCAGGGTTTAATTTAATTCTTCATTAAAGTGCTGACATCTATCAAAGGTAGCTGATTTTATTTGTGGAACCCTTGGCTGCTCCTAGAGGACTAAAAAAAACAGCCCAGGCTGCTCCTCTGAGCCCAAGAAGCACAAAAACCCAAGGTGCAGCTCTTCAGGGGCAAATCCTGCTGTRGCTCCTGYRGAGAGCARCTCAGRACRTCCAAACYACAACCTGGGGYKGTGTTGGGGGAGTCCAGGGGAGTCAGAACTCGAAAATAAAACCCTACAAATGAAAGAGATTCCCCCCAAACCCCAAAGCACCAGCACAGGAGGGTGTTGGAGAGGATATTCTGAGCTGTTTTATTTAGTCCAAGTGATGGAGGGGAGGAGACCTGGCATAAGGCAAAACAAAATGAAACAAAAACCCGCAGAACAGAGCAATACAAAAATCAAAGCAAAAAACAACAACAAAAAAAA